CTCCTACTTTGCTGGCATCCATCGGGACCTTAAATGGCTGATCTGCTTTACGGGCTGCTAGCACACTAAGCTTAGTAGTGCTTTGTGGTCAAAGGCACTTTGACACAAGGGGAACTAAAGAAACAATCTGGTTAAGTCAGTCTTTTATTGGCACAACTAAGGAAGAGTTCTTTTTACAGAAGCTCCGGTACTAACTGGCTATTTCCAAGAAACACAAGAGTTCCTTTTTTGTGGTGAGTGGAGAGGACTGATATATCACTCCTATTTTCATGCACAGGGATCGTCCCTTGTCCGACCACCTATCCCAGATAATTAACTCACACTTGGCGAGGTTCATGGTAAGGTTAGCTTCAGCAAGCTGAAGGAACAGAGCTCAAATGCAATGCAAGTATTACGGCAGCACCTTCCAACTCAATCACGTTTAGGATGGGACGTCAGCAAACAACCTGAGAAACTTTCTTATGAGAACAATGAACTCCCGTTGCTTATCAGCAGGCAAGTGGCTTACCGTAACAGGCAGATTGTTGAGAAATTCTGACTTACGCAGCTAAGACCACTGAACCCTGTTGTTGGTATACTCTTCTGGTTGCCATGCCTGGAAGACGGCAACATGGACTCTACATGCTCCGTGCTCGGATAAAATCGGACGTATGATGCAAAGGCGGAGGAGGACCATCGTCCTAGGAGTTTCAATATTGATGGTGGAACTCCCTGATGAGATGCAGCGGAAGCCGCTCCAATCCAAAAGGAGTGCCCAGAATAATGAGTGTGAGGGATCCCACAAATAAATGAGAGTCTTTAGATGAGAGGTGAACTAGGGGTAAGACATGGGTGTGCCGTTAGTAGTTAGGAAGAGTGAGTCTGAGGGAGTTAAACGAGGCCTTAGCCGAAGATATTTCATCATGGATTCAAAGGAACAATACGAAGTATTGTTGCGTGCAATGTAGAGCGTAGACCCAGCACCACCTGAATTTGATTTGGTACTGCTTAGAAAGATAGAAAAGAATGAGGCTGAAAAAGAAATATCGGAGATGCGAAGGGTCTGATTAGGGAGAGATTTGACGTAGGTGAATTCCCCGGGCCGCATAAGACCGTAAAAAGCAAGAAGAAAAGCAGTTTCCAGCAGAGTGTCAGTGAAGAGAGAAAAACATCCGCGACAGAGAACGGTGATCATTGATTTTAAAATACCCAAAGTGATGGGAAGTCTTTTATTGACGGAAGTGGGAGAAGATTTCTTAAAGCCTCTGAGTAAGAGACGAACAAAGGGATTAGAAAACAGACTGGGTAAGGAAGGGTTAGTACATCTGGCGTGAAATTGAATACCTGCCACCAAACCGTGAATTGACACCAGACTAAGGCGTTTGTGCTCAAAAGAGTAAGTAAGAAAAGTGCAAACAACAGATGAGGAAAGAGGGAGTACAGGTAGGACAAAGGTGTGGCAGAAAGAAGTGAAAGCTCTCCAGGCAGAGTCATAAGATTTTAAGGTAGAAGCAGAGAGACCTAATCTAATGTACTTAGTGGTTGAGTTAAGTAGGTGCATGAATTGTGGGTTTAAATTAATATGAGGTCCGAATGAGCAGGGCATTGATCTGGAAGAGTGTTGGTGCCTGAAAATGGAAACGTGACAGGGAGTCAGCTATTTGATTCTTAAAACCTGGAATGTATTCGGCCATAAGAATAAAGTTATGAGAGAGAGAGAGCCAAATAAGACGCCGTACAAGGGGCATAAAGGAGATGAGTTTGGAGCGAACCTTATTAATTATAGACACAACAGCTTCATTATCACAGAACACTTTTATCCTTCTACGGGACCATTCTTTTCCTCATATAGCACAAGCGACTACAATAGGGTACAGTTCATGGATGGCTGAGGACGCTAGCATGGGATGTAAAGCCACAAAATCTGCGGGCCAACGCGACGCAAACCAAGAGCCTCGATAATATCTGCCGAAACCGACAGATGGTGCGGCATCTGTGTAGAAACATAGAGAGTAGGACATTTCTGTAAATGTATTGTAAAAAAATGAAATGCCATTCCAATGATCAAGAAACGCGAACCAAAATATAAGGTCAGAAAAACAGCCGTCATCTAAAATAAGCATATCATGCAACTTGGAAACCGATTTAGATAGATCAAGTAGACAACAAATAACAACAAATTTATTTTTGTATAGCGCATTATCACAACATTACATTGTCTCAAAGCGATTTACAGCATCCCCACCCAAAGCCTCCAGTGAATAAGCCATAGGCGACAATGGCAAGGAAAAACTCCCTAGAAGGAAGAAACCTTGGGAGGGACCAGACTCAAAGGGGGAGCCCATCCTCTAGGGGCCGGCAGGGAGAGTGAAATACAGTTAACTCTCTGGGGTCGAGTATGTCGTCGCGACATCGCGTACTTTTCGCGTCTATTTCAGTTTATATCTCGCTGAAATCTTAATGTAGAATCGTGAAAAAAACGCTGAATCCGTAATCTGTCTTCTTTTCAAAACGTCCATTGTCGGAAGTATTAAAGTTTTTCTAATTAGGGTAAATCGGCAGAAAAGTAAACCATGTCATCTTACTTTGTTTTACCTGCATCGGGGGCGTGTAGTGCCGCTCTCACCTGAAGATCGCTATTCACATTATAAATAGCCGCATTAGCGCGTATTCAAATCGCATTCGCATGGTAATTTGATTAACAGCGCAACAGTGAAACGCGATCCAGATACATCCCCTTCAGCGCCATAAAAGGGGGTTGGGGACGTGGCCAGGGGCCTCATGTATAACGACGAGCG